CATTTTTGCAGTGTGTATGTCTTTAGTTTCTTTATTTCTATCTTGACCCATTTTTTATTCAGTAGAAAGTTATTCAGTTTCTATGAATTTGTAAGCTTTCTGTTGTTTCTATGTTGATACCCAGGTTTAATCTGTGGTGGTATGATAGAATGCAGGGACCTATTTCAATTTTCTTTTATCTGTTTAGACTTTTTGTGTCTGAGTATGTGGTCAATTTTGGAGAAAATTCCATGAGGTGCAGACTATAAGGTATATTCTTTTATGTTTGTGTGCATGTTTTAAAAATATCTGTTAATTTTATTTGGTTCATAACATCTGTTAGTTACAGTATTTCTATTTAGTTGTTGTCTGGATGAACTGTCCATTGGCGAGAGTGGGATATATGAAGTGACATTTTGAAATCACACATTCCTATGGTGTGAGGGTTAACATGTGATTTAAGCTGTTGTAGTGTTTCTTTTACAAATATGGTTGTCCTTGTGTTTGGGGGCATAGATATTAAATGTAATTTTGATAAATTTTTCCTTTAATGAGTATACAGTCTCCTTTCCTATCTCTTTTTTATTAGTTTTTCTTTAAGATCTATTTTGTTTAGGTATTCAGATAGTTACTTTTCTTAGGTCCATTTGCTTGGAAAATCTTTTCCCACCCCTTTACTCTGAGATAATGTCTGTCCTTGATGTTGAAGTGTGTTTCTTGGATGCAGCAGAAAGATGTATCCTGTGTTTGCATCACTTCTGTTAATCTACATCTTTTTATTAGAGAATTGACATAATTGAAATTGAGAGATATCAATGACCAGTGGTTGTTGGGTTGTTGCTTTGTGTTATTTTGTTGTTTTTGGTGGTGGTTGTAGTGTGTGTGTGTGCGTGCCCACTTTCCTTCTTTTGACATTGCTGGGGTGTGTGATCATTTACTCCCCGTATTTTCTGTGTAGTTAACCTACATGGGTTGCATTTTTCCTTCTATCACATTCTCTAGGGTCGAATTTGAAGGCAGATATTGTTTAGATTTGACTTTAATGTGGACTATCTTGTTTTTTCCATCTATGGGGATTGAAAGTTTGGCAGTGTATAAGCTGGCATCTGTCGTTCTTAGAGTCTGCAGCACATGTCTCCAGTCCCTTCTGGCTTTTAGGGTCTCCACTGAGAAGTCAGATGTAATTCTAACAGGTCTGTGTTTATATTATTTGGTCTTTTCCCCATGCAGCTTTTAATATTATTTCTTTATTCTGTATATTGTGTTTTGATTATGTGGTAAGGGGACTTTCTTTCCTGGTCTAATCTGTTTGGTGTTCTGTATGCCTCTTATATCTTCATAGGAACCTGCTTTTATAGCTTAGGAAATTTTTCTTCTATGATTTAAAATTTTTTTCTGGACCTTTGAGCTGGGTTTCTTTTCCTTATTCCTGTTATTTTCATGTTTAGTCCCTGCATAGTGTCCCAGATTACCTGTATGGCTTGTGTCAGGAGATTTTCACACTAAACTTTTTTTTAACCAATGTATCATTTTTTTTCTAGAATGTGTTTAATGCCCAAGATTCTCTCTTCTATGTCTTGTATTTTGTTTGTGAAGTTTGCCTCTATGTAGTTCCTGTTCAAATTCCTAAATTTTTCATTTCTATATTCTCCCAGTTTGTGTTTGTTTTATTGCTTTTCTTTCCATTTTCAGTCTTTGAAGAGTTTTGTCCTTGTTATAATTGTTTTTGGGTGTTTTTCTGGGGGTGGGTCTTTCTGCAAGGAATTTATTCATTTATTACCACTATTTGTATTTTCCTGGATTTCTATAAGTGATTTATTCATTTCCTCTTCAAACACCTTTTCTTTGTTTTTTTTAAGTAACCCACTTAGTCCAATTAGTTTTGTCTCGATGTTTATGGGTATAGGGCGACCCAGTGGAGCAGAGGCAACTTACCAGGGGATACAGCCATGAAGAAAACTGACCTTGTCACCCTCAGCAGCCATTAGTTGCCAATAGCTCCTCAGCTAAGGTGTCATCTATCTTGTGGGTCTCCCTGTCATCTACACTGGAATATTGATTTAGGCCAACTGGATAAGGCCTGTTCCTATTTTTTTAATTTTCCTCATATCTTGGCAAGGTCTTTGTATTACTGTAACCTTTTTTTGCAAAAGCCATTCTGGCAGCCTTGCCCAATTTGTTCCAGTGCACATGGTAGAGTCAGGTTCTGTACCACCTTAGATTTCTGGGATTGCTGACCTTCAGTGTATCACTCATTATACTGCCATCCAGGTGTGGTCTCTTAGGAAATTTCTGTGTAAGTATACTTACTTTCTATAGAAAACCTTGGGAACCTCCCCTCTTTTGAGGTTTATTTTTATTGAGTTTTAGGCAATTACTTTGTCATGTAATACTTTATGATGGGTCTTGCTATGCATCCCAGAAGGTCCTCTGGGTTGGCCTAAAACTTCCAATCCTCCTATATCATTTTAATCACAGTTCACATTTACGTTTTGTATTTTCATTGCTAATTCCCTTGGCCTCTGTATTTACTTTTGAAATCAGACATTTGTCATCAGAATACATTTCTTAAGTAATGGGTAGAAAATGAGTCTATGACACAAGGCCTGTTTCTGGTTTGGAGTAGTACAATGCTATTTACTTCTGAGGAATTAGATCAAGTGATGAGTCTGGCTGTGCATTGTACAATTCTTGGTAACTTTAGAAACTGCAAGTTCTTTGATTGAATTTTTAATTTGATAAATATAGGAAGGCACAGTTTAAGACAGAAAATATGTCTTTGAAAATGTTAGCTATTACACTTATTTTCATTTTTATCTGTAAGAATGTTTTTCCTACATGTCTATCTGTGTACCATGTGCATACAGTGCCTATGGAAGCCAGGAGGCACTGATCCTCTAGAACTGGAAGAATAGATGGCTGTGAGCCCCCATATGGGTGCTGGAAATTCAAACTGGGTCCTCTGGAACAGCAGCAAATGTTGTTAGTCATGGAGCCATGTCTTTAGCCCTGATGGTAACTTACTAAAATTCCCTATTAATGGACCATAATCTGGCTTTATCTTTGTATACTGAGAGAACACTTGGTGTTTTGTATCACCTGTATTTTTCATAAAATTTCTAAATATTGTTATGCACAGTTTGTGTACTGCATTCACCTGCACTCGGGTGATGAACTAACTGTCCCTCCTTGCTCCAGGTGACTTCTTTGTGGCACCCTAATATTCAAAAAGAACATTTAATGTTTGTTTCCTGGTTTATTAGACCTTGCCTTTCTGCTCTCAGAAGTATCATATGAGTCTGGCCCATACCACTCCTGCAGGCTTATGCAGGCCACTACACCGCCTCACTCCCATTGATGAAATTGCAGTGGCCAAATGTTTTGCATTATAGTTTGTGAAGGTTTAAATGAGGGCGCAATATTTTGGTGGTAAAATATTTAAAAGCATAGTGTAGATAATCACTTAGTGAGGCTGGTAGCCCTTGATTCAAAGCACAAACTTCAATTTGTCTACTAACAGAGAATAACCCCACTTGCAGATTAAATATTACACAATTGCCAAATCCTAGCACTACTCATTCAGCATCTTTTTGGTTCATTTACACCCTTTGAATTGCCTATTCTAATATATTCCAAAGTGATTTACACTTAGATTTCAAGAAAATGTCCTGTCCTCAAATCATGCCCTTCCCCGATTATGCCCTTTATATCTTACCTAATACATTAGGTAATACATTTTTTCTTACATGTAGCTGCTTCTAGACTCTGATAACTCATTGTTAGTCACTATACCACGTATTTCTTACTAAATCCAGTGTTGCTGAAGGGAAGAAGGAAACTTCCAGAGAACCAATACTTAATTAAAGATTAAGAAGAAAATCAGCTGACCACTGGTGGCACATGCCTCTAATCCCAGCACTTGGGAGTCAAAGGCAGGCAGATCTCTGAGTTTGAAGCCAGCCTATTCTACAGAGTGAGTTCTAGGAAAGCCAGAAATACCCAGAGAAACCATTGATTTTAAAGAAAATTAAAAATAAATAAATACTTGAAGAAAATAAAGTACTAGAGGTTTAATGGCGATGTCAACCATCCTGAAGCTGCTGCTTGACAAAGATCACAGTGCTCAGATGACTTGGACAGAACTTTCACTAGCCTTACTGGAGGTTGCTGCACAACTCTTGCCTGTATTTTTGATGTTTTTAGGGTTTAAACCCCTCACTGAAAGCCAGAACTGTGACAATGTAACAATTTTTGTGAAACCTGATGTTAAGAATAAAACTTATGGTGATTCCCCGAGATTTAGCTGTGTAAAAAATCGAGTCTTCTATAAAAATTATTACTTAAGTAATGAGCATGAGATATAGGATCTGGAACAAATCATTTAAGAAGAAAAACTCAGGAAAATTTTAAAAGCTGATAAACTATGTCTGATTCATTAGGATTTTGTGTTCTGTCTCAGAAACAGAGAACTACTAGTATGAACAAGGAAAAAGATTCTTGATTAGAAAGTTGATGTACCCTCCTGAAAGCAAAGTAAACAGTTTTAAGAATGAATAAAAATAGGTATAAAAGATAACTCTTTATCAGTGATGTCAAAACTTGAGGGAAAATTTTTGGAATGATAACTGTTCTCCAATAGTTTATTAATGATGACTAAAAGATGAGCAAAAGGAAGTGAAACACATTCAGAAAATGATCTATGGTTTGAGATAACATGAATATATCACTACATACTAAATTCTGCATGAATAAAAAAAAGCACTGTGGCTGTTAGTCAGTTGGGCTGCAAGATCCTCCCGACTATCATGACCTGGCTCACTTACAGTCTCTGCTGGGACCTGCATCTCTGAAGGCAATGTGTCTCCTCGCTGTCCATCTCTCTCCTAAAATGAAACTAAGAAGTGTCCCGTGTCTGATTCCTCCCTCACCACTCTTGCACCCACCCATCTTCAGACCCTGCCCATATCTGGAGTTGGACTCCGACAGTTTATGATTTACTTACTAATGAATTTTAGTAAAGTCTTCAAATACAACTTTATTTTACTTAGCATTAACAACGAAGGAAAAAAGTATACAGGTATACAGCTAACAAATTAACAATCATATATGAAATTTTCAAAAATAACAATAAAAAGTTTGCCACTTTACTTTTCTTTCACCATTGTATGACATCACATTTCCATGAAACTCCCTTTTCCAATGCAATGATACCTAACATTTTAGTAAAAACAAAGTAATGTTTTCCAGTTTGTTGTAAAGTAACAAAACTCTGAGTCCTAAGTTGACAAGTGACAATAACCATTTTTATGCAGCTAATATAAAACATGGCACAAATCACTGCTTAATTAAAGGGACATTTGCAAAGTAACAAAAATAGCTACATTTTACTAATGAATAGAAGGTCAAGAATGTATACATTTTGCTTCTGGTATTCTATGAACTCTCCTCTAATTAGGAGTCTGTGACTGTTCTTCAAACAATGTAGAAACTATAGAACAGACTCAACTACTTCTGGGACAGAGGCTTGGAATGAACCCTGGCTTTGGCAACAGCGCTAGCCCTACCTTGAGCTCTCCTTCTTGCTCCCCCTGCCTGATCTCTAAGAGCCAACTGGTAGAGATTGGGGAAAGCACTAGGGACAGTGCCATTGACCTTAGCTAAAACTTCCAAGACTTTCATCTTGGTGGTTTCAGCATAGGCTCTGGGACCCCACAGGAACTCATAACTTGGGGGATCACTGCCAGGAATCTGGTGGTACTCAACATAATTTTCCTGCACTAGATCTTTTATGAATTCCTCAGGTTCCCCAAAGATTAAGTGCTTCTTCCCAGCATATACTCCCACTCCATTCAGAAATTGCCAGACCTCTTGCTCAGTGGCACGATTGCCCTTCATGAAGATCACACCTAGGATGGACATCAGAAGACCAGTCCTGGGCAACCCCCAATTGCTACTCAGACTTCCCTCAGTGGAGAGACCCAGTTTTCCCACCAGCAAATAGGACTGAGTGCTGGGATCTATTTCCTTCAACTCAAGACCAAAGACTAGCTCTAGGCGTGCAGAGGTTCTACGGAGGATCTCAGGGAATTGTTCCTTAAACTTCTTGTTTACTATTGCCAGCATTTCACTCCGTGTAACTGCCTCTTTCATCTTAAACTTATCTAGCAGGAATTCTATCAGCACACTAGCCTTCCGCATGATAGGATCTTTAAGGGTGTGCTGAATGGAGGTTGCTGCCTGGGAAGCATCTGAACTTTGCTTACTAGCAAGAACAACAGCATTGCGAACACCTAAAACAGAGCCTGTGCTAGACACAGCTGCACTAAGAGATCCAGGGGATTTCACCCCCTGTGGAGCACAACCATCAGGGAAGTTGGAGCCATCACTCTGGTCAACAGGAGAAGCTGCTTCCTCTGCACTGTGGTGAACTTCTGGGAGACCCTGGAGCTCAGTGCGTGCCTGTTGTCGTTTTGCACGGGAGCGGCTCTTACTCTTTTGACCCCTAGGCATGATGACTGGATTCAGGGATGAAGGAGGAGAGCTGACAATACAGAAATCTGGAAGGGTAACAATGACAACCTGTAAGCACCACAGTACTATCAGGTAGACAATACCTTGGATTTAACAAAGACCTGCTGTTTCAGTTTTCCAGAAGGGCATCTTTGGAGGAACATACCAGGGCTCCTGTCCTTGTGGGTCACTCTCTATTCTGCCAACCCTGTGGAGGAAATTAAAACTAGTTAGACCACTGCACAAAAGTATAGTTCCAGGCTTCCAAGTGTAGCTCAGATCTTTCGCTAGCATCCCTTGAGATCAAGACTCAAGAATTCCCTGACTTTACATTCACAATCAATCATATTTATTGTTGGCAAAGTCTGTAAGCCCATTTCCTTTTGCTCTCCTCAAGCTAACACTCCCGACTCCCTCAGTGTCACTCAGGTAGAAATTTAATCTGCCCTACTCCCTACCTAGTCATTCAGAGAGCAATGGGGACTCAGTACTAGTAAAAATGGAGATACTTGAGGGATTTTGCTGTTACAAGGAGTGTTGTTTCCATGGTGATTAAAGTCCTCATCCTGACTTTATCTGACCTGGGTATGATGTCTAGCTCTTTGTGGCAATCAGGTGAGGCCCTTTACAACAAAGCTATTATTGCCTTACTTGCTTAAGGGAAAGTGAAGGAGCCCTTCAGTCTTTAGTCTTAACTGGACCCACTTAGGCCACTATACAGAGGTGGACTCCTGTGAATGGGCAAACTCATTTAGGCCACCATATGTGGCAGAGGCCAGTGTCCATACAAACCCACTTAGGCCACCATACTGGAACAGAGAGGCCTGATACAGGGGCTGAGGCCTGTGAAAACAGACCCACTTCGGCCACCACACAGCATTAGCGATCTCTGTATGCCGACCCCTAGCTCCAGAGCATGGAATCTTTTCAAGGCTGGCCTCGCTCTGGCCCCTTAAAGCTTGATTTACTTCTGCTTCTGTTGTCTAAGTCCAGCAGCCTCCTGCCAGGGCCTTGGTTCTATGAGACCAGCAGAAAAGCAGACAGGATCTAGGTATAACTGCCACATCGACCTGAAAATTCTAGAGATACGCACTGGGCGCCAAGCCAAGCGGGGTTTTTTGTAGGGGGGTGGCCATGATAACAAGGAGAGTGGGAGCTTTGAAGTTGCGACAATTTTAAAACAGGTTACCCACCCAAAAACCCAGTAATACCTAGGATCGATCTCTGCAGCTTACGGGACACCGAGCTTCTCACGCCAGGATCACTGCCAGGAAGTGATGTGATCTCCAACTTCCGGTCCCTCCCATTCTGTTCCCGTGGACCTATAAACAGCTAGGCAGTGAAGTCATCTTCACCTTCTGGCCCCGCCCACTCTGTTCCCGTGGGCCTATAAACAGCTAGGAAGGGGAGTAGCCTTCAACTTCTGGCCCCGCCCACTCTGTTCCCGTGGGCCTATAAACAGCTAGGAAGGGGAGTAACCTTCAACTTCTGGCCCCGCCCACTCTGTTCCCGTGGGCCTATAAACAGCTAGGAAGGGGCGTAACCTTCAACTTCTGGCCCCGCCCACTCTGTTCCCGTGGACCTATAAACAGAACTAGGAAGTGAAGTCATCTTCACCTTCTGGTCCCTCCCATTCTGTTCCTGGGACCTATAAACAGAACCCGGAAGTGAAGTCATCTTCAACTTCTAATCCCTCCCATTCTGTTCCCGGGACGTATAAACAGAACTAGGAAGTGAAGTCATCTTCAATTTCTAATCCCTCCCATTCTGTAAAATTCAACTTCTGGCCCCTCCCATTCTGTTCCGTTCCATCCATGTCCATTTGCTCCACAGAAGGGTTCCTCACCTGCACCTGTTGTCTTGGCCCCTTGTGGACATTTGGCTCTGCAGAGACCGGTCAGCCTGTAGTGGACACACTAAGTAGGGGCAGACCTGGACGCCTTGGGGGATGCCTCAAGCTCTCATCTGGACAGGGATCCAGACCAGGACTGGATCAGCCTGCCACCTGAGGGTGAAGGCACAGTCGAGGACCATGCAACTCTACTTGGGAGCCTGCCTCCCATCTGTACTGTGTTCGGCATACTACACTCCCCTGTGGAAACAGGGGAGTCAGGCCATCTGAACCTAAGGGAACCTAGTGTGTGCCAGTTATCCTGTTGGGCCCTCTGTCTGTCCATGGCGTTTTTCTGTGTGGAGTGTTTTTCTGTTGCCTTTCCCCTACGGACAACCCCCTCAAACAAAAAAAAAATCACATGGGACAGACTCCTCCTTCTCCTTCACATCTTAGCCTGGCTCATTGGAAGGACATGAAGGTGAGAGCTCACAAACAGCGTTAATGTCTACATGGGCAAATGGAACACATTCTGGACAGCAGAATGACCTGCTTTCAATGTAGGCTGGCTCCCCAGAAAGGACCTTTTGCCTGGATCTCATTAGCATAGTGGAAGATATTGTCTTCCAGCTCTGCACGGGGTATCCAGACCAGATACCATTCATAGTCACTTGGCAAAACCTCATAGAGGACCTGCTCCTTTGGGCCAAGCCCTTCCTCTCTCCCCCTGTACCTACGATGCCTTCTGCCCCACAGGTTATGGCTGTTATGCCCACAGCCTGACCCTCTCAGGAACCTGGCACGAAACCACCATTTCTTCAAGGGAATACAACTGAGTTCCATATCTTTCCTCCTCCCCCTTATTCTTCTTCTGCCCCACAGGGGCCACCACAGGTACAAGCAACCAGACAACTGGAAATGGCTGAACCAACTGCTGGGAACCAGGGAGGACCGGTACAGGACGGAGACTGGGAAGGGCAGGCTCAATTCACCCACAAGCAGTCGCAGAACATCAACCCCACAGAACGAAGCTGTGGCTCTCCCTCTCTGGCCCCTAAAACTGCCTGATGAAGCAGGAAACCAACCTTTTCACTAGTGGCAAACGGCCTATATAACTGGCGGTCCCAAAACGCCCCTTTTCCAGACAACCCACGAGACTTAATTAATCTTCTAGAAACTATCCTTTTCACTCACTAGCCTACCTGGGATGACTGCCAGCAACTTTTTAAGATTCTTTTTACCACAGAGGAGAGAAATAGGATCCTGGAGGCTGCCTGGAAATTGGTTCCAGGACCAACAGGGGACCCCACCACAAGCCATCATAGACGCTGGCTTTCCAATCATACGCTCAACCTGGGATTATAACATGGGACAAGGTAAGGAGGGTCTCCTAGTCCATCGCCAGACTCTGTTGGTAGGTCTCACGGCTGCAGCTAGAAAGCCGGCCAATATCTAAGGTTTATGATGTTAGGCAGGGGCCAGAGGAAAGCTCAGCAGCATATTTAGAAAGATAACAGGAGGCCTTCCCCAGGTACACTCCCTATGATCCTGAGGCGGGGAGTCTGAGACAACTGTGATGTTTGCTTTCATCAGTCAAGCAGTGCCAGATATTAAGAACAAGTTACAGTCTATAGAAAGGTTAGGAGAAAAGCACCTTGGGGTTTTAGTGACAGTGACGGAAAAGGTTTATAACAAGCAAGAGAGTGCGGAGGACATGGAGCTTAGAAAGGAAAAAAGAGAGGAAGAGAGCCTGACTAAGTTCCTAGACTGGCAGCAGGTCTGCCACTGGAAAGAACTAAAAGAAATCCTCCTGGCCACGGGTGTGAGGAAGCCCTTTGGAGAAGACACCTTCTCAATCAGGCCCAGACAATGAAGAGGACAAAAGGTAGGCAGAACTCCATGTGCATACTGTAAAGAGGAAAAAAAGGGAACTAAATCGGGTGGCTGGAGCCTTCCTGGTATATCCTCCAAGGAGACAATAGTGACTAGAGGGTACTGGGCTCAGCTCCCCTTCCTGAGCCCAAGGTAACCCTTAAAGTGGAGGGGAAGAAAATTACCTGCATGATAGACATGGGAGCTGAAAATTCCGTCCTAAGTGTGAATGGGTCCATGACAACCAAGAATACTTGGGTACAGGGAGCCACTGGCTCCAAGCCCTACCAATAGACTACCTGAAGATCAGTGAATTTAGGAACAGGATGGGTAATCCACTCTTTCTTAGTAATACCTGGTGGCTGCAGACATAAGGACAGGCACGGCTGCCCTCGTCGGCCAGGATCACCACTATTCCACCCTAAGGGCAAGTCTAGCTAAGGACTTACAAAAGATTGAGGATTCAGTCACCCGCTTATAGGACTCTCTTAGCTCCCTGGCCAAAGTAGCCCTGCAAAACAGCAAAGGGCTAGATCTGCTCTTCCTAAAAGAGGGAGGTTTATGTGTAGCCTTAGGGGAAGAATGTTGTTTCTATTGAAATCATTCAGGTATCATAACAGACAATGCAGAAAAACTTAGAGAAGGTCTCGAAAGACGTAACAAAGAAAGGGAAGCCAAACAGGGATAGTACAAACCCTGGTTTAACAGTTCCTCCTGGATAACAACCCTGGTTTTCATCCTTACCGGACCTCTCCTAATGCTCCTGTTAGTCCTGACAGTTGGGCTTTGCCTCATTAACAGATGACTACAGTTTGTGTGGGAGCAAGTAGGCACCATTCGTCTTATGGTACAGAGAACACAGGCCTAGTAAACTGTGCCCCAGAACCCACCCGAAGTCTTCCAGCTGTGTATCAGAGCCTCAAGATTGAGCCACTAGGGACCATAACAGAGGGGAAGTGAGATGGAAAAAATAAAAGCCTGTAACTAAGTGAGGGACCTCTGACCCTAGACTACATGACAGGAGGCTACAAGCAGTACCCACAAGAAAAAGGGGACCTAAGCTCACCACCAACTGCATCAACACTGGTCCCCAATATATTGTCTTAAGAAAACTGGGAACTAGATGACCTCCTGACCTGCTGATCATAAATCCCCCTGACCATGGATTATGTGACCTGAAGCTCAGACCCCATGAGCAGCTGTGACAATATCTGCTTCTGTCCTCCTGCTTTGAGAAGACCAGAAACCAGATAGCCTCTTTCTCTACTGTCCATGAAACTTAGATCGCAGTATGTGCTCTGGTCAAAAGCCCCTAGCCCACAATTGTGCCAATTAATCTTACCTAACCAGGTAACAGTTACTGCCTTCTTCAAGTCCCTTCATTTCATGATAACCTTGTATGGAAACTTTGTGTGCTAAGTAATCTCTGTAACCATGGGAACTTGTCGAACTGAGACTTAAGGTCTCATGATCACGCCTCCCCTTTTTCCATGTAAAAGCACGTTGCATTTGTGGTTCTGGGCTTCAACTCTCCCGACAGAGTGAAGCCCCGGCTAGCTGGTTATTTGAAATAAAAAGCTTCTTGTACTTACATTCAGATGTCATCAGCTCCTTGAGGCCTTGGGGACCCTCTCTTGGTGGGCACAACACTTTCCTTTCCCCTCTCCTCTATTCTCTCACCCTCACCTCCCTATCATTCCACTCCCTTGTATCACTAGGTGCTCAGGCTGCCCTGAAACTTTCTGTCTTTCTACAGTCAATCTTGAACTCTCAATATTCTGGATTTCTGGTATAACAGGTATAGAGCTAATCGTGTTTGCTCACATTTAATAAAAATTTAGGTCTGTCAGGGGGATTTGTTCTGAGACTACATTGATTGTAGCCTATGGTGGATTTAAAATGATAATCATCCTACCTCTGCTTCATGAGTTCTGGAATTACATGTGTAATTAAGTTTTTCATCTTCATTGTTTGTATGTGCTCAGCCACTTCCCTTCTATATGATTCATGGCCGATCCTCAAACTAAAGATATTAATCACTGGGATTGCTCATGCGAAATACTGGTGTACTTCATCCAGCAATGTGTTTCTGGCCTTCTTGGTAAAGAACAGGAGACTTGGTGTTATATAATTTGAAATATGCCTCTTTTCTGTTCTCATTTCAGTTCTCTATACTGCTGTTCAGGCCTGGAAATAAAAGCTTTTTCACATGAAATCAACCATTTCCTCCAACCATGAATTATCAGACTCTAAGCGGTAGGTCGGTCAGGGAGATCCCTAGTCAGACAGTTATGTCTGGATCCTCTGCTGACTGACATAATGGTATGTTCCAAATTTTCAGGGGTAAACATCTACCATTCTCAGATGTTATTCCTGTTTATACTTGCTATTCCAGTTTCATCCCTGTAGGTTGTATCATGATAAATAACTGATCAGGTCTCTTCCACTAGTTACAATAGTTTGCTATTGTAGTTTACTATGATCATTGGACTCACACTTCATCAACAAAGCATTTATGTTATCCTAGTGACTCCATTGATAATTGTAGGTGCAGTTGCTATCTT